AAATCGGAATTGAACTTAAAATTAGAGTAGTTTTTATGTTAGTGCTTAAATACATGGCAATAGAATTTCTAAGTTTTTATATATAAAAATTATTTGATATCGATATTGTATAATTCAAAAAAGATCAATTGCTATGACCCTTAAGACATAATTGGTATCGAATATTATTGTAGACACACTTGAAAAGTTTATTTTACATGAGATTCCATCAAAATTACTGACTAACCCCTTGTGCAGTTTATCCTTAATAAACACACAACTCTGAAGCCTAAAAAGTTTATCTTACTTGAAGATTCCGTCAAATCTATTGACTACTCCTTATGCAGTTCTCAATTGAAGTTAGTGCAATACCTTAACGAAGTAAAATTTCACGTGACACTATTGAAATTAAGTTTATTTTATTGTGACTGACCCTTTATACATTTCATCCATTGAATCCCTCTTTAAGAAATGAATACACGCGATTTTCCAAGGCTAAAAGATTGTGACTCCTAAAAATATTTTTTGGATATTTTTTTTTTTACTGAAATACATAATTTTGAGGTTTAAAAAAGAAACACCTTCGAAATCAGAAAATACATATATATCCACGATTTTTCCTTAAACTTAAATTGTCGCAAAATCAATTAATTATGTCTCAATCCAACAATTCGTGGTGAATTTCTACGTTGATGGCTGTCTTTGCAATTTATGCATAGAATATTGTATTAAATATGGAATACAACTAACCGAAGAACAATATAAAAAAATGTCATACTATTACTAATGTGTTTCAGATTACAATCTACATTTTTTAGTCAGAAATTCTCAAATCGAAAAAATTGATAATACTCGGGATGTAAATTCTTTATATGTCCAGCCTACGCAATCCAATTTAAATAATCAAAACTCTCGCCAAATTATTCACCATACGAATCCTCGACATGTCCAGCCTTTGCAATCCAATATCAATAATCAAAATCTACAACAAATTGTTCGCCAAAACAATTTACAAAGTGAATGCTTACAACAAATTGTTTCCCAAAATCAAGTACTTATTATGATGATTCAAAACATATCTAATATTACATCTTTTCTTACAAATTCTCAAAATACACGCCAACCTTCTGTTCCCCAGAACAATAATACTATTCTTATCAATTCTCAAAATACACGTCAGCCTTTGGTTCCTCAGAACAATGACACTATTTTTACCAATTCTCAAAATACTCATCAGCCTTCAGTTCCCCAAAATAATGATACTATTCTTACCAATACACCTCAACCTTCGGTTTTCCAAAACAATGTTACTACTATCTCTTCTCAAGAATCATCAAGCAAACATCAAATCAATATTTGTGGTTCTTGCATGAAGAACAATTTTTCTAATCAAATCACTGAATCATCGAGCAAGCATCAAATTAATATTTGTGATTCTTGCATGAAAACCAATTTTTCTAATCAAACCACAAGTGTATCGGTTTCTCAGATTAACAATAATCAGATAATTTCTAATCAAGTTAATAATATTCCAGAAACTTCTAGTCAAGATATAGCTGCGACTCAGCATATTTCAAATTGCACTACCAACATAAATGTTAATTCCTCCTCGTGGAAACCTGGATATTTTGTTATTATCTTTGGTCTTACCATTTTAGTAGTAGGAATTATTTTTTGCATTATCAAACAATTGTCAGTCGTATCTGCATACGAAGAAATTGGGGCTTTGTTCTTTACTATAAAAATAGATTTAGGCCAATTTGTAAAAATATTGGGCCCTACTATAATTGGTGGCATCGTGAATTTGATCATGAAACACAGAAATGGTATTAAAAAATAATAATATGTTTTTTTTTCATTTGGATGTAGTTAAATAGCATGAATTTTTAGATACATATTTGTCAAATCAATTTTTCTGTTTCTTCTTTTTTGATTAATTATCAGTCAACTGTTTTTGATTAGATTTGTTCATTTAAAAACTTTTATTAGGTATGGCTTTTTTACAATAGCGGCTTTTATTTGAACAAAATGTAGGAAATTTAAGATTTTAAGATTTACTATTATTCCAAATAATGTTTGCCATTCATTTACGATTTAGGAAATTGCAATAATAAAGTCATTATAATATTTAGCTTTTGAATAATAAAAACTGTGTTTACCTTGGAATATGTCAAATACACGAAATTTTGTCACATAAGCAAGAAAAAGACACGTTATTCAGGATTTTGTTTGTCGGGATTTTGACCCAAACCCATGTAATATAATTCAATATCGATATTGTTGTAATATTTAAATAGAGATACTGTTACCAATTTTTATTAAAAAGAAATAGATAAAATGAATTAAATATAGAATAGGTAGCGTAGCGGGCTTTCATTGTAATTGGCTGGTTTTTGTAGATCATCCCGTGATATTGCAAAAATATCATTGGTTAATCAAATACGAAACTGATTATCGTAACGACTAAATATTCAATATTGTATAGAATTAATTTGTCTTAATAAATACATTACTATGAAATTTAACACTCAGAGTCTAAGATCATAATCCCAATACAAATAGAATCATATAATCCAAGATCTTATTTTTAAAAAAAATACTATTATACAAATTAAAATAAAATAATAATAAGCACGAAAAAAATGAAATATTTATTATAAGAGACAATAAAAAATTACAATATATAACAAATTTTAATTGTTATAATAACAGTTAATTAATACAAACCGAATTTAACCCTAATCCTAAATTAATAATAGATGTAACAAACACTACGCTTAAATATTCTTAGCTATAATACTATGTTTTAATCTCTTACAAGTTCGCAAGCTTATATTTTCATTACTTCATGTCATTAAGCAGTTTTACAGACAGTACATGTCTGTCTTTAGAATAATAAATAAGTTATAAATAAAATAGATTAGTGATGTAAACCTTTTAAATTTACTGTCATTTCACCAAGTTTAATATACTTTAAGTTATATTAGTTAAATTGAAATGTCTAGACATATCTCTCATCTAACTTCTAAATTACCTCGCGGTTTACCAAATTACTTTGGTAGTATATAAAGTAAAGCTTGAACTTTCAAATTTTTTTGTCTTACCTTCGCCGGTTACGTATTCATGGCACCGGATCCATTCTTGTGACAGCATATCGTTACTTTAATAAGACTTTAATATGATAAGATGATCTTCAAAATCAACCAATCATAATAAAGCCTGCTATGCTAGAAACATCAAGAGTTGATATTTTTGTAAATTAAGTCTTTACTGACGCGATTTATTTTTTAAGTTGTATTGTGTTTGTTATATATTAAACTAATTGTTTGGTTGGATAATACATGAAAACATGTGAAATAATTTATTCAAATAATTCAAAAGATATTTTAAATTAAAATTCGTTGAAATCAATCAACATGAAATTTGGGTTAAT